ATTCTCAAAAGCGTTTTCTTCGAGGACGTTATGAAACACTACACATATTTCAGTCAGTTAATGTTTACTATCTGAAGTATGACTCTGGTTTTTTTCTATATGAAAAGGCCAAATTTTAATCTTCATCATAAGCCTTCTACCGCTTCACTACAGCTGGAAGACTTCTCCAAACTTTCGCTAACAATTCTGTCTTCTGCCATTATTATCCACATTATTCCAAAAAATTTTCAGCTCTTCCTGGCATTGACATGAGGGTGTTCTCACGAGTAATTTACTGTTTCTCAAAACTCGGTCAGTGCCTCGTGTCCCGTCTTTTGCCATTTCATCTTCTTCATCTTTCCAGTGACATAACAGACTCTTGTTTGTGCTTTTACCCATTTGTTTTTTTGCAATTTCTTCTGGTTATTGCTAGCATACACCTCTGCATCCTACGTCGCTTGGAGTTCAGCTTTTGAACAGCTTTCTGGCTTACGGTAACTAAGATAAACATTGATATATTCGAAATATAATGCTTCATAGTATCATGAAAGCCACGATGGAATCTGGTTTATTTCTTTTCTTGTTTCTTCCATTCTCTTTTAATTGTCAACTTCCTATGACCTTCGTTGAACCTCTAAAGAGGGAAAAAATGTGACCCATCTGCTTAGCAATTAAGAGAAGAATGAAGTCATAAAAGTAAAAAACAAACAGTAATATATTACCGTTACGAGTGGTAATCAGTCCATTCCAGTATATACATGCTTGTTTATTTCCTTTTTTCTGTATTTTTCGCTCTTTTCTTCTAAGTCCGTGCCAGTATAGACTGGAATTACTTCCTATTTCCCGCTACTTTGATATGGACTGAAAAATTGGTTTTTCAGTCAAACTATTGATGTGTGGTTTGTACCGCAGTACTGCCTGAGCCTGCATCCAAGCCACAGCGTAAATTGAAGTATGCATACAACAATGCAGAAGTTTAGGCATAGGAATAGACATTGCATTAACTGAACCGCGAATTAGTTTCAGTCATATGGAATAATTAATAAATGAATGTTAGTCTATTCTGGGATGGACGTAACATATACAGTAGGAAAGAAGCATGGAAGACGAACTTATTGGTACGAACACCAATTCACTAGGAGTCTGTGAAGTCATTGCACGAGTGACATTGAGTTTCAATGAGTAGGACACGTTGCAGGAAGAAACGAAATCGCTGGATCACAGGGACATTAGACTGACAGAGTCGCAAGTGCTAGTCAACGGCCCGTAGGAAGATGGGCAAAACGAGCGGAAGAGGTTCGCTGGATCAAGATGGATTAGGAGAGCAGAAAAATAAATTTTTAGCAGAGTTTTACAATAGTATATACACGTGGTTTTTAGCGATTCAGTTTTAATTATATGCAGGAAAAAATCATCATTGATGAAGAATCACTCATGTACGGCGCATGAATCAGGCCTGTGATTATATAACTGAACGAAATTCAGCGTATCGTGATAAGTGACTGATTAGGTTAAGATAAAATCCACTGTGAGGGATTTGAACAGAAAACAGCTGAACTATCATACATCACATTAAAGGTGATAATTACATATTAAATATTAGTTGAAAGGAAGGAAAGGGCATTTGTAATAGTTGGAATATCGATCTTCTTGAGACATTAAAAATGGATCCATCTTCGGTGCGCTTGCTTTAATGATTTGGAGGGGCTGGCGCTGATTTCCAGTTTTATATCATCCAACAGGCGTGCCTTGGTTGGTGCTCATTTACCAACCTCGAAAGAAAGGCGAATAACTTGATTGGGCCTCTAACTGGGACCTCAAGACTCTGGATTAGGCACTCTACCGATTGAGTAACCCCGGTCAAATGTTAGTTGAATTAGAAGCTCATGATGCACATGTGCTTGAAATAGGGCAGTTAACGCTTGATGCTTCCAGTGATACGGTCGGCGATCCTCCTCTATCGCCCGCTTGTAAATCACCCAGTCGTAAACAAAATAATGTTTTCGCCTCGGCCATTCTGAGAACCGGCTTTGATGTATCACCGGCTGACGAAAATTTAAATCAATCAAGCACGGTCGTAAATCAGACCAGGCCGAAAAAAGCCTGTTTTACTACCACGAAGAAAGGAGACGCCGAGAGTACGAGGAGCCGGCGAGGTTTTCGATTTCGAAAAATGCGCCTCGTGTTGTTAATAGGTTCAGCAATGAACCGGTGGTGTCCCGGTAGAACTGCAGTTCGCCGCTGATTGATTTCAGTCACATCGGCTTCATTTCCACGACATCCATCGACGACGACGACGAGTCGACTGGTCGACAGGATCGCATGCCCGGCTTTCGGAAGCATCACGTTACGCGGTGATCGGCCGACGGTGCTTTAAAACGATTGCGAACCACAATCAAGAGAAATTCGGAAACTCTAGAGACCGGTGTGCATTTTGATGCGATGGAAGCCTTTCTTATTGGCGGAATGGCAAAGAGGTTCAGTCATGGATTAGATTGTTTTGATGAAGGTGTTGAACCGGTCAGCTTAGCACAGTGGCAGCTGTCCTGAAAGACGTACTCTCATGTACTTCTACACTGCCACTCGACATATCGACTGACTTATGCGAACTGTTCAGATAGTTGGCGATCCAAAGCTACAAGGTTTCGACATGCTCTTACGCTGAACCATCCTCTTGATGCCAAGGATACTGTTTGTTCCATGTCCTAATATGACTTTAGAGATGGTTTCGGGATCGCAGACGGAAATCGGTGTTAAGAAAAAATTCGCAAGGCTCTCACGGAAGGATTAGTACGGATCGTGCTTCCAAATTCTTTCCGTCCAAGCTTTTGTTCTTTTCACAGACCGAGACTGCTCAGTCGGTAGGGTGCCCGAGTCAGAGCCAAGTGATTGTAGATCCGAACCTCGGTCGAGTGACTCGTTTTTTTGCCTCGGAGGTTAAAAGTGAGTCTCCCTTCGTAGCAAGGAAGCAGGATATTATTTCACGTTAATGCAGTACACGCTAGTGTTGATATAATCTTAAGAAAAGAACAATAGTTTTCTTCCGACTGATGCGACATAGTCAGATGTTAACACTGCTCCATAAGTTTCAGAAAAAGAAGTGCCACCAATTGCATATAGTCATGAAATTGTAAGAGAGATCGTAACCCAACGGTTTCTGAGTTTCCTTTAACTTTTCCCTAGACAAAACTACCTTTAGAGGCAAAAAGTGGCCTGGCAACCAATGTTACCATTGCCTAAATTGCTTGCTGGCCGTTTCATGTTTCGTGACTGCCCTCGATGGCATTGGCAATGTCCTGCGGTCTCGTTCTTTGAACTGCTGAGACTCGTTGGTGAAGGCGTTCTGATATTTTCTTATGATGCAAGACGGTTTTTGTTGCTCGAAATATACAGAATAAATACGAAAAATTTCAGATTCTGGGCTCGTTGCCCAAATTACAGATGATTTCCGATTTGTGGCTAACGGTGGCAAACAACACGGGTACCAAATAAGTAGATGACAGATGCATACCAGACTTTAACCGTCATATAACCTTAAATTGTAGAGTTCAACCTCAACGACTGCCTTGTCTTTCCAAATTTTCTTGTAAAGTTGGAGATGCCACCGGCTTTCATTTATGCCAACGGATGAGTAGTAGTCATCGCACATACGATGTTTTATTACCAAAAGACCAATCTCTGACCGGTCTTTGTTGTTTACAGACACATTCTGTGTCCCTCATGAAACTGGGCATGTTCCGCAATAACAGAATAATCAGCCTGCCTTATGTGTATAATGAATAGATTCTGTGCAATGGGTTACCTTTACCGATCGAATATGAAGCAAGGGAAATGTTCAATCTGATATTTGATTCATTTCCGTATGTGATATGATAGAGTGCACGGTTGTTATAGTGAATTAGTGTCTGGAAACTCTGATCTGTTTTTCTTCAAGACCGGAGTCCTTTAATTAAAGAGAGTGATCCTGGTGACATACATGTATATTTTTCTGTATGCAAGTGCGACAGAATAGTAGTAGTAGGTCGATTGGTTGAACACGGCCAAAAAAGAGGGTTAGTAAAATGCCATAGAACATGGAAGAAATAGGTAATATCTGTAAAAGGTAGGCTTCCCTGAGCTATCGGTGATTCTTTGTGCACCTCTACAAATTTACTTTCTTTCTTTGAGTTGAAGGAAAGCTGTGTTAGGTTCTTTGCGCATTTAATTCATTCGGTTTTGTACGTATGCCTGCACAAGGCTGTTATACAGAAGATACCGCGCATGTGTCCTGCACGTGCGCAGTATGAGTCTAGATTAAAGAAACTGCGGAAATCCTTCCACTTGAGAAGTTAGATCCTGCTCCTGAAATTCACCTGACGAAGTCTCATATTGAACCTAACTTTTAACATTAGTTCACTGAACTACTTTCTCTCTGTATGATTGTTGACTAAATGAACAGCTGCAGAGCGGGCCATTTGGCTGTTTAACAATGTTACCAACAGAAGGTTTGTCCACTGTGTTCTTGCGTTGGTTATATTGCTGAATGCTTTGGCAGTTGAATGCTGCTGTCGTTTTTCTGACATAAATCAGGAGGCAGGCCAAGACGATAAGCGAAACAACTCCTTCGAACATGAATATCAAATACCGTACAGTCACAGTTCAACATCGTCATGAATCATAACTCCATGGCGCAGCACTCGAACCAGCGGTCGGGCACATGATGGTGACATAACAGTTGGATCGATATTTGATGTATTGCAGTGCTTTGCGTCTAAGCTGAAAGAAGGTTTGTTGTGAATTCAAGCAGGCCATATACAGCTTCCATACTGATCCCTTTACGGCTAGAATGACTGAACCTTCGTTTGAGAAACTGATACTGTAGAACCGGAAATCGGTGAGAGTATAAAGATGAAAATGAGCTTCTACAAAATGTTTGCAAGACAAGTTATATGAGGGACAAACAATCTTGAGGATGAGTTGGCATCACAAGTCTTAAGCAGCGTGCGGCTAAAGGTGATAATGACCAAACAACCAAGCACAACAGCAGCATCAGTACTGCTGTGCCCAGCGAACGTCGGCGTAAGCTCATTGGCAATGGACACAAACTTAACTATGTACGGATAAGTTCAATCTAGGCTGATGTATTAAATTCGACATGAGGGATTACTTTTAAAGTACTCGCAAATGAGGTACTGCCGATTTTACATAAGTGTCTGCTCGACATCTGCTTCAGAGCAGAAAATTAATGCGCGAGTTAGCTCAGATGCAAGGCTGAAGCACACAGTGGGAAATTTATTGCTATCTGCTGTGACGAACAACATGCACGAAAGTGCGCTGAACGGCAGAGGATATCTTCCATGTGTCTTCATAAGTATAAGGGACTAACTCATCAAGCACCATCCACCGAAAGGCTAGCTTCGTTCAATCAGGTGATCCATCACGCAAGTGTGTTAATCGTTCTGCTGATGATGAAACACCACTGTAAAAAGTGGAAAGTTTGTCTAGCGCCATGCTTAGTTCAAACAACTGAGTTTCACGGGATTCATTTATTTGCTTCAAGTAGCGGATTCCGCGACGGTCGAGTTTCTGGCTTTGCGTTATTTTGTGAGAAGAAGGCGATTCATAAGGTTTGTAATAACATGCTTTAATAAATGTAGGACATGCTTTTCGAGAAGTTCGCTGTGATCTGGTTCCTTCTGTATGATATGCTGTATTTGCTGTACTCTGCTTACCGTAGCTCGCTATATTTACGTTTTACATACACTGTCAGTAATTAGTTTATAGCTTAGTCGAAGAGAAACCTTATCATTTAACGAGAGCAGTGGTAGTACCTGTTATTCTTCATTGACATACACCGAGCATCTGTTGAAGAGGAAAACAAATGCAAATGATAGCACCTAAACGTCAAATTGCGAGGATAGACTGTGCATCCTCTTGTGGAGCATCGTAGCAAAAACGATTGCCCTCTTCGAACAAATTGATCATCTATCGAAAACGGTTTCAGCATAGACAGCAATAGAGCTACTTACTTGAACTGCATGTAGTTTCGAGCAGTCAACCACATATACGTTCCACATACTACCTCCATTGGCTTATGGCAGACCTCTCTATAAAGCAACTGGTAGCAATCGCTATGAGCCTAGTTTTCTGCAGAATAAATGAGTGAAAGAATGAGTTAATTATTTAATGAGTGAATGAAGTAGAAAAAGCCCTTAACCTCGTCTTGGAACGTGTTAGAGACGGTCTGAAAATTTTTAGAAGGCAACCTATGACCTAACACAACCTCTGACCTACTACTTAAAGGGTATCAGACTACGATCACTTCCCAACTCCTAACCTCTCCATGACTATGTCAGACTTTTCCTTCATTTGAGAAACCGTCGATTATTGCTGCAGCAATTGCAGGACTCAATTTACATGGTTTAAATGCTGTAATCTCCTAAATGTAGTGTGACATTCTTAAGTGTGGTTTTTTAAGTATAGTACTCTTCTAATGTATTAATGCAAAGTTTAAAAGATGGCACAGTCTGTAATTATGGGAATGTCAGTAGCGTGTACATTTGCATCACTGGATGCTCCCTTCTTTCACGGAGCCCATGTACGGTGCCTATCTTTAATTTTAAGTCATCAGTCAGGGTGTTTTAATCCAAGGCAGTGAATACGGTCAGGTGGCCATCATTGCCTAAAATTGCCTGTTTCCTTCCCACACAATAGTAGTCATGCGTAAACCTAGGAAGAATGATAGGCGCCACCAGAACCCCATTGATTCAGACATTCAACCAGTTGAGTTACCTTATAATTAGGGCTTTGCATCGTTGTCCGTGGTTTTACTGAGAAAACGAGTGTTTTCTCGTGCTTCTATCTGTTGCACTCTGCAGAAGAACGGAAAAGCAGTGGAATAGGTGAAGTGTATATTCCTCAGAGTCGCGTCTACTGACGATGGAAGATGTGAGACGGAGATCCACTGATTGTAATAATCCACTATCTCGAACCGGTGTGACTCTGACAGAGCGGGTTTGAAAACTAAGCTGTGTGAGTTCTGGTCGATTTTCATCATATGCTAACTTATAAGTTTATGTATAA